CTCCTTTTCCATTTCTCGCAGGAGCAGGACGCGATGCTCGACAGGCTCTTCGAGGGGGGGTCGGAGCACACAGAGCACCCGGAGTGCGAGTGCGAGGGCGGCGAATACGGCGGCGTGCGGCGAGGCAGGCTCCCGCCTCTCGCCGAGGTCCTGGACCTCCCCGCCTCTAGCCGAGGGTCTGGACCTCCCCGCCTCTAGCCGACGTCTCTACTCCCCGCCTCTAGCCGACGTCTCTACTCCCCGCCTCTAGCCGAGGGTCTGGACCTCCCCGCCTCTAGCCGAGGTCCTGGACCTCCCCGCCTCTAGCCGACGTCTCTACTCCCCGCATCTAGCCGAGGCGCGCTTCTCCGACTTGAAGTGGAAGAGCCTGTCGAGCATCGCGTCCTGCTCCTGCGAGATAGGGGGAGATAGGGGGAGATAGGGGGAGATGTAGGCAGATGTGGGGAGATGTGGGGAGATGTGGGGAGATGTGGGGAGATGTGGGGGGAGATGTGGGGAGATGTGGGGAGATATGGGAGAAGCTGGTCGAGCATCGCGCGCTGAATACGCCAGCCTCGGGGCGGGAAGGGCGGTGTTGTGCAGAGTCTTCAGAGCACCGCGTGAGTACGAGGGGTGCGAATGCAGCGAATACGGCAGAAGACGGCGGAAGAGAGCGGCGAGCGCTGGCCGGAAGACAAGACTACGTCTTCATCTCCTAGGCTCCTCCTGCGAGCGCCGCCGCGTCGCCTCCACCGCCGCGGCCGCAGCCTCTCGCTCCCGCCCCCGCCCCTCCTCCTCCTCCTCCTCCCCCGACTTTGCGCTGCCTCGCACCGCGCCGCCGCCCGCACCGCCGCCGCCCGCGCCGCCGCCCGCACCGCCGCCGGCAGAGGGGCGCGCCTCGGCCTCGTCCTGCGGCAGCACCAGTCGACCCGCATCCGCCATCTCCTCCCACGACGCAGACGCCGCCGACTCGCGCGGGTCCCCGCCGCCGCCGCTGCCACCCCCGCCGCTGCCACCCCCGCTGCCTCCTCCTCCGCCGCCGCCGCCTCCGCCGCCACCCCCGCTACCCCCGCTGTCGCCGCCGCTGCCGCTGCCTCCTCCGCCTCCGCCGGCCGGCGGGGCCGGGCTCGCCGCCGTGCGAGGCGACGGGCGCGAAGGGCGCGACGGGCGCGACGGGCGCGCGGCGGCGGAGCGCAGCACCTACTCGAGATTGGGGGAGATGAGGCGAGATGGTGCGAGACTGTCACGCGCGGCGGCGGAGCAGATCGCCTCAAGCTGCTCCGCGAGGGAAGCCTTCCCCTGCGGGTCGGGCGGCACGCACTCGCTGACGAACGCCCCCTCGGTCGACCTCCGCTCCGACCTGTTCACAGCTGCAGCCGTGAAGAGACGCCGTCGTCCCCAGGCAGACAGAGGCGGCCGCCGTCCGCCGCTCGCACCTCCTCCCTCCCCGCGGCCCCTCCGCCGCGCACGGAACAGGGATCACGGCCGGGCGGCTCACCCCCCTCGAACCCATCGCGCCGGCCGGCGGCGGCGGCGCGGCCGACGGCGGCGTGGCCGGCGGCGGCGGCACGGTCGACGGCGGCGGCGCGGGCGACGGTGGTACGGCCGACGCAGCGGCAGAGGTGGGCACAAAAGCTGGCGCGTGCACGTTCAGCTGCGGAACGCCGCCGCTCGGCGCGCCAGAGGCGGGCGGGCAGGCGGCGGGGCGGGGGGGCGCCTCCCCGCCCCGCGCCTCCCCTTCCCGCGCCTCCCCTCCCCGCGCCTCCCCGCCGCTTCCCTGCCCGCCGCTCCGCTGGCCGCCTCCGCCCAGCTCCGCCCCAAGCCTGCTCCTCGCCGCACTCGGACTGGTCGTTCTCGGGCGAGGCGGAGAGGCGGCAGGAGCGGGCCTGACGCCCCCCGCCGGGGTGAGAGAGCGGTCCGACAGCGCGCCCTCGCCGGCCAGCTCTTCGATCGCCGCGCGCAGCTCCGCTTGCAGCTGCGGCAGACCGAGCACCTTGGCCTTTTGCTCCGCGTTGAGCTGCTTGCCCTCGGCGTGGCCGTCGCGGAGCTGGATCGCCTGCCGCACCTTCTTCTGCAGCGCCCGAATACGCCGCTGCAGGTCGCTCGTCGCGCCGCCGCCGCCTCCGTCGGTCGAAGTCGACCCAGATCCCTCCGCCCGGAGCGGGGTCGCGGCCTGCAGCGGCGGTGGCGGCGCCGAGCTGCTCCCTGCGGGGACCGTCACGTTGACTTGGGGCGCAACTTTCGATTTTCCGTTGCCGTTCTCGCCGCGCCTTTCGTGCAGCAGCGTCGCAGTCGGCAGTGTGGGTGGCAGAAGGTCAGCTCCGCCGGCCGACCACGCGGGAGACGGCCGAGACGCCTTTGGGTGCGGGGTGTCTGGCGCTTTGGTCGGTGGGTCAGACTCGCCGGCCGCAGGAGCTCCCGCGGCGTCCATGGTGTGGGCTGGAAGACCGCGGGGAGAACGGAGGCCGACCGAGCTCCGCGGTTTCTTTTTAAGTGCGGAGGAGTAAAGACCGGGATTTATTTTTCTCTCTCTGACGGCCAAAAGTTGTCGAATCGTGCGTCCACCGCCGGTTGTCCCGGGGTCGGTCATGGCCAAGCAGCGCAAGCCGAGCGGGGCGACGAAACCCTCCGGCTGGTCCGTCCCCGGCGTTGCATGGGCAAAGTCGGTCTCCCTCACCGAATTCCAGCGCGGCTTCCTCACCGGTGCCGCTCTCTGCGCTCTCGCCGCCGCCGCCGCCGCCAGCTGGCCGGCGGTGGTGACAAAGCGACAGCGCAACGCGACCGAGCCACGGATCGACGACGGCAGCGTCGAGGTTGAGGCGGACATGGTGTACCGCGGCGCCCAGCCAACCTGGCGGCCCGGCGACCAAAATGTGCGACGCGTAGCAGTTAGCCACACATCAAGGGGAGGTGGGTGCCCTCGGGAGCGTGCCTGAGGAGTATGCACATTTCGGGCCCACCATGCTAGGCGACATGCGCCCGACGAGAATGCTCGGTCCCATCCTAGGCCCTGTACCGGCGACTGACGGCGGAGGAGGTGCTCGATCCGGGCGACGGGCGGGTGCTCAAGCCTACCTCTATCGTCGACCGCATCCAGCACTTCCGCAGCTTCTGGGCCCTCGAATTTGAGCGATTTGCCGACGAGGAGGAGGTGGAGGCACTGCTCAGCGCGGGTGAGGCGGTGGGTTTCAAGCAGTCGGCGATTAGGAACCGCGGCACACTCGCTTCCAACGACACCCGGCGCACCAGCACGAGCGCCTTTCTGCCAGAGCGCAAGCCGGGCGGCAGGAGCAGCGCGGACGCGGACCCGATTGAGCGGTTCGTGCGGAGGGTGGAGGAGATTACGGGCATCACACGCGAGCGGCACGAGCGGATGCAGGTGGTGCGGTACGAGGCGGGCCAGTTTTACCGGCCGCACCACGACTCGTCGCCCTTCTCCATCAACCGATCAGTGCACAACCGGGTGGGTGCCGGTCGCATCCTCACCGCATTCCTCTACCTCAGCGACGTGGCCGAGGGTGGCCGGACGCGCTTCCCAAAGGTGCCCGACGACGCGGCGCGAACCAAAAAGCCTGCGCGGGCGCCATTCCTGAGCTTCCAGCCTCGCCGGGGCACGCTGCTGCTCTGGCCCAACGCGCTGGACGACGACCCGTGGACCAACAACGCGTTCGCGGAGCACGAGGCGATGGCGGTCGACGAGGGCGTTAAGTACGGTGCCAACCTTTGGCTGCTGCAGTACCCCGACGCGCTCGTCATCAAATCATGGGGGCTGGGCAAATGAGCGGAAGAGCATCGGAAAGCGGGGCACGGAGCGACGCTGGCGCCACGCCCGCTTCGCCGCACTCGCAGATCGCGCGCGCGCCGCCTTGCCTTGCGGCTTTGCGACTCCCACTTTTATTGTTTGGTACGAGTATGCTTCTCTACACCAATGAGGTTGGAATCTCTCTAGCAACCCCAGGAACAGATCACAGATCACCCCAGGAAGCGCGCGCGAAACACACGGGAAGGTGCTTGCTTTTTCAGAGTTGTCAGGGACCGCCCGACACAACGCCCACACCATGGCCGCAGGCACCGCCACCATCGCCCCGCTCACAGCGCTCGCCACGTAAAATCGTAATGGCCTGGTGCTTCCCGCTTGGCGTCCATTGTCTGCTAGGCTCATGCGAACCCACCGGCGTCTTGATCTGTCACGGATCCCTTGCACGCTATTGGCGCTGCGGCCAGCACTTTCGTAGCTGCTGCAAATGTCTCTTTTGCCTATGCACCCCGTACCTCGTGCTGCTGGTTCTCATCATCTTCGTGATACCTCCTCCTACTCCTCCATGCATAATCAAGTATGCTGGCCCAAATGACATTCACCCGGTGATGGCGTCATATGCGGACCTGGAGCTGGAGTCCCATCAGCTGGACTTATTGCCTAGCGACGTGCTTGATAAGTGCACGGTGGTCGCTTATAATCAGAGCGCTGGTCACGATCGCGGGTTCTTTGTTGTGGGTGTCTACCCTGCCGACGCCATCGGGCCAACCATCAACCCCGAAGCCTCTTTCGACTGTCGCGACAAGAGCCAAGGCTGGGACGAGATTAGCGGGTATGCGGGGCGAGTCTGCGGGGCGAGGGCATTGGAAGGGGCGTGCTGGGAGGAAAGGGAGCAGGCGACAATGCAACAGGAGTGCGCGTACACCTGCAACCTGTGCGACTCCGCACTGAAAGAAGCGGGGGTCGCGCTCGAAGCGGGGGCCTTGGTGCTCGAGCATCCCAAGGAGGAGTGGGCCTGGGAGCTGGCGGCGCTGGCGGCGCTGACGGAGCTGGCCCGTTTAGAAGCGGCGGTGTCCCGCCAGCTAAATACGACCAGCTCGCACCTCGAGACCGAGGCCGGCGCGGCAAAGGTCGGAGTGGCTGCCGGAGTGGCTGCCGCGAGTGGCATGTATTTGGCTGCCGCGACCTTTGCTGCCGGAGTGGCTGCCGCGATTATTCTCGTCGCGGCGGCGGTCGGCAGTGCGGTGCTTGCGGCGCTCAGGGCCCGGCGGCCGACACTGGTGTTGGTGTAGGGAACCGCGCCCGAGCGCGCCGAACGACCCAACAATGCGTGTCGCCAAGCTCTCACTGTATGGTTAAAGAGAATTTCTTCATTCTTGCACATTGATGGAGAGTGAGCGGCCGAAAAACTTCTGGGTCGCCTGTGCCGTGCCTGTCGGCTGTGAGAGCTAGATGACGACGTCGACGACACACGCTCGAGCGACACACAGTCACACACAATCTCACAAGACACTCAGCCAGCTGGGCTGCCACACATCCCGAGTTACGTCATACCATACCCCGCAAAAAGTCCGAACCCAGCTTTGTCGTTGTTTGCATGCGACGATGGCAGCGCGCAAGATGATCGGGCGCTGCGTCTCCGTGTACTGGCCCGAAGACGAGCGCTACTACGATGGCATCATCGTGTCATATGCGTCGACGCGCAACGGCGACCGCATCCACATCCGTTATAGCGACGGCGAACTCCTGCCGATTGGAGAGGGCGAGACGCTGCACTTCCCAAATGATGCGGACAAGACATATCCTGCGCCCCGCCACACGGACAAGACATATCCTGCGCCCCGCCACACTGCCGCGGGCCGCAAGCGTGCTGCTCCCAGCGAGGTCAGCACGAGTAACGCGCCCAAGCCCGACGCGCCGGAGAAGCCCAAAAAGAAGGCGAAGCTCAAGCCATGCGACCCTGAGGCGCACCGCAAGATCAGCGTGAAGAGCGAGCGCAATGTCGAGCTCTTCTACCGCTACCTGCATCGCCGCATGTGCGTGCGGCTCCAGATGGATCGCGACAAGGCACGTCCGCCTCTCGCGACGGTCCTGGGTGTGGGTGTGACGCTGCCCGTGCCGCACGATCCCGTGCTCGCCCTTGCAACGACCGGCAACGCCTACCGCCACCTCGATACGGGCACGCTGACGCTCGGCTCTGACGTCAAGGCCGCCCTGGTGGAGCATGGGCGCACACAAGGCAGCAGCGACTACTTTGCGGGCGCGCTGATGGCGTGCCTGGTCGACATGAGCGGCATCAATGCCTCTGTCCTCCGCCAGGGGCTGCAACTGCCCAGGTGGGAGCATGCTGCGCCGGGCGAGCGCGTCCTCGAGTACCCGTGCACCCTGGAGGAGCTCGCTCAGCTCAGGCGCTTCATCGGCGCGTACCAGAAGAAGCAGCAGAAGGCGGGATTCAAGGGCACCAAGCTCTTTTCGGATGCGGGCTTCCAGACGCAGGGCTTCCGGTGGATCGAGTACCTTGCTCAGTGGCTGCGCCCGGCATCGAGCAGCGAGGCGTCTGCTGATCCGGCGGCGTGCTGCCGCTTTGCTGAGGTTGCGGCCCAGGTGCGTGACAGCAGCACGTGGCAGGAGGCGAATCTCACGGTCCAGACGCTGCCGGGGGTGGGCGGCTACACGGGCGCGCAGGCTCTGCTCCAGGTCCTTTACGGGGTCTTTGGAGGGGAGGTGGCCGCGTGCTTCACGCCCAGCTTCGCCGAGGCCTCGATGCGCGACTGGTGCGCGTACGGGCCTGGCCCGGTGTCCTCGTGCAACAAGCTCTTCGGCACGGCCGACGGCGAGACTCTCGCGGGCATCCGCTGGCTGCAGGAGCACCAGCAGGAGCGCTTCGCAACGTACGGTCTGGATTTCCCGTACCTTCAGCAGGCGGACGGCACGCCGCGGCTACTTGCCGCGTGCGACCTCGAGCACTCGCTCTGCTACTTTTCGCGCTACCTCAGCGCGCGCGCGAGCCTCGGCGCCGCCGGCGCGGAGGCCCTCAGCCGCGCGATGCCCGCGGGCTTCCGGCTCTATCGCATCGGCAAGCTGCAGGGCCTGAGCGCCGCCAAGGTCTGGGAAGACTTTGACGCGCATCGCGATGCTGGTGCGGGAGGGGGTTTGGGCGCAGGCCCGACGACGGACCACAAGTCGCGGCACTACTGATGCGCTCGCGCAGCTCGCGACGCGCGCTGCCCGGTGGAGGGCGCTGGACCTGGAGGGCACGTGGCAGACGCCAACAAGAGCCGTATCAGACGCCGCGCGCAGAGCGCCGCGAGAGAGCCACAGGCACAGCCAGACGGCGAGTCTTCCACACACATGACAAAGCATTTGGGCAATATACAAAAATCGTAACGTAGAGTCCTTACGTATACTAGCTTCTACCGCGGCCGACGGCGCCCAGGCGCCAGGGCTCAGCTGACAGAGACGTGACTCGTGAGAGCCGCGCGTGGTGTGTGCAGACGGAACCACGGAAGGCGCAGGGCAGCGGGCAGAAATCTATGCAGGTATTGGCGCGGTGCGCGCACTCACAAAGGGGCCACATCAGTCCGCTGCAGCGCGCAGTGCCCCCTTCTTCAGCTCCGCCACCTGGTCGAGCGCGTCGCCGAGCAGCCCCTTGGCCACGCCCAGGTCGCGCAGCTGCTCCACGCCGCCGCTCGCCCGCACCTCGGCGGCGTGGTCGGCCACGTAGCGGCGGCACTGCGCGAGGAGCCGCCCGTCGCCCATCGTGTGCGCCGCCTCGAGCAGCGGCACGGCGGTCGCCGGCGCGACGCTCTCCTGCAGCGCCTGCGCGCAGAGCAGCTCGAGGCGCGGCACCTGGTACATCTGTGCCAGCTCCCGCAGGTCGAGCGCGCGCTGCGCCCTGCTGCCCTCCTCCTCGCCGAGGTCGAACTTGTCGGAGAGGAGGTAGTCGACGAGGGCGGTGAAGCTGGCGAGGTCGGTGTGGGTCACCGTGACCTCGGCGGCGTCGCGCTCCTTCATGCCGATGCCAAACATGGTCCGAAAGACCGGGGACCGGGCGCAGATGACGCACTTGCTGACGTCGTCGATGCGCTCCTCGTCGTCGCCGACCAGGAAGGTGACTTTCCCCTCTGGCAGGGAGGCGTCGCCCCGTGTCTTTGCGAGGTCAGCCAGGATGGTCGAAGGCGGAACGACGATCGGGGCAAAGGAGGGAGGCGGAGGAGGCGCCGCCACGCAGACCTGGCGGAGGCCACCGTCCGAACCGACCAACAGCGTGCTGCCGTCGGGGCTGAGGGCGACTTCGATTGGGCAGTTGAACTCCGCCGCGTCGCCCACGCCATCAGTGCTGCCCCTGGTGCCACTGCCCGCGAGCGTGGTCACCTCTCCCGTCGCCACCTCAACCCGCCGGATCTTGTGGTTGTCGACGTCCGCCACAAACAGCGCGCCGCCGTCTGGGCTGATGGAGATGCCATGTGGGTAGCAGAACTGCGCCGCGTCGCCCACGCCGTCAGCGCTGCCACTGGCGCCGCTGCCCGCGAGCGTGGTCACCGCGCCCGTCGCCACCTCAACCCGCCGGATCTTCCTGTTGCTGTAGTCCGTCACAAACAGCGCGCCGCCGTCCGGGCTCATGGAGATGCCATGTGGGTAGCTGAACTGCGCCGCGTCGCCCACGCCATCCGCGTCGCCATCCTCGCCGCTGCCCGCGAGCGTAGTCACCGCGCCAGTCGCCACCTCCACCCGCCGGATCTTGTGGTTGCAGAAGTCCGCGACAAACAGTGCACTCGCGTCGGAGCTGATGGAGAAGCCAATTGGGCACCTGAACTGCGCCGCGTCGCCCACGCCATCCGCGCCGCCTACCTGGCCGCTGCCCGCGAGCGTGGTCACAGCGCCAGTCGCCACCTCCACCCGCCGGATCTTGTTGCCGCTGGAGTCCGCCACAAACACCGCGCTCCCGTCTGGGCTGGCAGCAACGGCGTAGAATTCGTCACTTGCCGGCAAGGCTGCCACGCGGCGCACGCGCCCGGCCGCCGAGACGTGTAGCAGCGAGTCCTCGGTCGCGACATACCAGGCGCCCGCGTGGTCGCTCGCGACGCCAACGCGACTGAGCGATGCCAGAGGGCCGTCCTCGCCCTCGAGCGTCAGCGTGGAGACCTGTCCGAGGACGCGCGCGCCAAAGATGGGCGCCTCGAAGCCATCCACGACCGGCACGGGCTCCTTGTCCTCCTCGCCGCCGCCGGTGCGGGCGCGCTTGCGGGCGGCGGACGCCATCGCCGTGGAACGTAGGGCTGGATTCGGGACACGGGTTTGTGGGGGCGATACTCGTCGAATGCTCTTGCTGGCACCGTGGAGTGCTGGGGGGGGGGCGACAGGGAGGATGTGGCCCTGAGTTATGTGTACGCCGACTCAGGGTGTGTGGCAGCCAGATGGCTGTGTGTCTTGTGAGCTTGTTTGTGTCTGTGTGTCGCTCGTGCGTGTCGTCATCATCTGTCCAGCGTCCACCCATACCGCGTTGGTGTCCAGTCCGAGCCTGGCTGTTCTTCACCTTTCTACCTACCTACCTACGCTCTTAGAAATGTGGAGCGCTGTAGAGCTGCTCTCTCATTCACCAGGACCCCAGGAATTGCGACTCGCCGCTTTCCTCCACTGTGTGATTATGTGTGAGCTCTGTGTTGTTTTGCCAACAGCATACCTACACACTCATTTATAGAGCGAGGTAGAAGATTTCACAGCCTTGTTGTTGAGAAAGAAAATACCTCCCCTGGCGCTGTCGCTGGTCTGTTCACAGAGGACGGGCGGTAAAACTCGAAGACGAGGCGCGAGGGCGGTCTCACCTCTGACTCGCGGTCCAACTTGCAAGCCCCAGGTAATTCCCAGCATGTTGAGTCAACTTCCCTGCGGTCGGCGAAAATATATGTATGTATATTATATCGCACGTATCCACGCCAAGAAGCCACGTAAGTTTTCGTGAAGCCACGTAAGACCTTCTGCTTCACCCATTCCATCGGATGCTCCCGGCCTGATGTTCACATGGATCGCGTGCTTGACACCCGCTATTACGCGGGCGCCTTTGTGCCAGGTTCGAAAGTCCGGAAGGAGCGTGTGCTCAAAGGAATTCGGCCAAGCAATCGCCAGTCCGGTTTGCGGACGCACGCGCAAATTGATGGTCGGAAAGACCGTCTCGCCGCCCTGCTGCACGTCGTTGCAGTACAGCAGAAACGTCCAGGTGTGCGGTCCTCGTGGGCTACCGAGGTCGAGTGCGTTGTAGTCATGGTGGAGACGGTAGTAACCACCTGCTTGCGTTCGCTGCACCTGGAACCGCCGCAAAGGCATGTGTGCCCTCCCCACCTGTGCGACAGCCGACACTCTGTCCAGAACCTCGCGCACGAGCGCCAACTCGCTGGCGCTCAGCCGGTGCCGTTGAATTTCTGCCGCCGTGGCAGGCATAATGTAGGAAGACATGTTCCGATGCTCCGAAATGCCGCCTAGATAATCGGTGGCGGGCTGGAGGCGCTGCTCGGCGAGTGAGACAATACGTCCGCACTCCACGGCGGAGATGAGGCCCTCAAACGCGTATATTGGTGGCTCAGCTGAGAGCAACGTGCCGCCCACTGGTGAGGGATGGCACACGTGCTGCCCGAAGATATTCCTGAGTAGACCACCTGGTTTGCACGACGCAGACCAACTCGCACCTATGTCAGCGTGCTGTCTCGACCGAGCCGCTGATGCATCAGGGAGAATTCTGGGGCCGTTGACGCGAAGGCACACGACCAGCCAGAACATGTGAACATGCGCGCTCAAGCAGCTGATTGCAATGGCGACCAACATGCACAGCGCCTGAGCTCCTCGTCGCATGACACCCGCCGAAGCGAAGCTATGCCACCGCCAGACGGCGGACCCTCTTTTGCACTAACTACTACAGATATGTAACTCTCCCAACATCGAAAAAAATAAAAAAAATCGAAGTCTCAGAGCCACACCACCCAAACGCGCCCATATGCCCTATGGGTCACGCCAGACAAAGTGTGCATGCTCTGGTGCCTCTCACGCACCTGTGTGCGTCGTCATTCATGCATCCACCTCATTCGTCAGCAGGGCGGAATGCCCCATGCCCATCAGCTTGAGGACGACACCGCGGCGTCGCGTAAGTCGCGCGCGCAAACGCGCTCAGGTAGCGAAACGCGACATCTCTGCACTAGTCCATGGGCTCGCGTGTGCAGCGCGTTTTGGCAGCGTACTACAAGATGTTGAAAGTGCTGCCCAGCGCTTGTTCGGTTGACGATGTGTATTTCGGCGACGAAGCCGCTGTGTGCACGGCTTCCTTGGTGTCAGAGCAGTCCACCTGCGCAATACCCCATAACATAGTGCGTTACGTAGTTCAGGTACGTCGACATTGACAATGCGCTGTGCCTGCCATGCGCGCATGTGCATTGTCAATGTCAGTCACATATCTGTGCGCGGCGCTGTTGACATCGTCGGGCGCGCCGCACCTCTTCTTGGTCAAAATGAGTTGCTGCGATCGTCAGCTGGCGGCGCTGGTCTGCGTCAACCACATCCACCTGTGCGCGTCACCGCGAGGGACTCGGCCGCGCGAAGATCCTCGCGCGCATCGCCGTGCCTTGAGGTGAGTGAGTCACGAGGAAATTGCTATCTTACATCTTACCACAACACCAAAAATGGCAGGTTTGCAGGGGTTACATACGAGCCCCCTGACACGCGCGGACCCCGCGGCGTGCGCGGCGCTGTTCCCGATTTTTCCGAAAAAAAACTCCCGAACTCACCAACCTCCCAACTTCTGCCGCGGCCGCCACGCCCGCGGCTTCTCGCGAGTTGCCGCACGCAATTTCCCCGCGGCAAACAAGGCTGTACGTCGCTGCCGCAGCCGCTGTGCCCGCGGCAAACACTGTGGAACTTGCCGCACTGCTTTTGCGCGCGGCAAAATTTGACAATTTTCTGCCGCGCTCAAACGCCTTGCGGCAAACTCTTGTGAGCATTTGCCGCGGCGCCAGCGCGCGCGGCAAAATGCGAGATCTCGTTTGTCGCGGGCAGCTTGGCCGCGGCAAAGTAGTATTGCATTGCCGCGGGGATGGATGGCTGGTACCGCCGGCGTGGAGGGTGCCACGGGGCCCCCGCCCGCCACGCCGCCACCATAGGGGCCGCCACGCGCCGCCGCGCGCCCCCTGCAAGCTGGGCCTCTAATTCGGGGCGCACGCCCACCGGGCGTCCGGCAAATCGCTTTTGATGGGCGAGTGTAGGGCGAATGGGGAATAAACGCGTCAAGGTTCGCGCAATTCATGCCGGCGGCACCGGTAACGGTCCCGGCCCTTCCTCGCCATTCGCATCTTCACAGGCAAATATGTTGAGAGTGGATTAGAGATTAGGCATAGAGTCTGTCGACGCTGTTTGATCTGGCCCTTCGAACGGATAGCCCGGTATGATATGAGCGACGATCATATGAATGAGCTGTTCTTTGTCGAGCGGCAATTGTACGTAGCCTTTACCTGCAATGAGCATGGGTTTGAGCTCGTCCTCAGAGAGCGCAGGCGCCGTCACCAACCCCGCCCTACCCGGGCCGCGTCGGGTGCTGCGAGACACCGGCCGGTGGCTACCTCCACAGGCTGCTCGTAACCAAGCACCGCTTCACACGCCGCCGCCATCGCGCTGCGCACAGCCTCCGGATCCTCATCTCCACAATCTACAACAACGCCATCGTGCTGCAGGTTGGTGACACTCAGGTCACCGCGCTTCAGCGCCCAGTCCACCTTCGCCCGCCGCGACAGGCCCTCTGCTTCCTGCAGGAAATAGCTCTTTGCCGTGAGCCCACTCTTTCCATTGCCCGCGCGTGGGTCGCCGTGCGCGCGCAGCCAGTCTTTGACAAACGCGTGCATGGCGGGCATGCGCTCCTCAAATCTTCCGTCATCGTCGCACGGCTGTGCGCATACGCCGTGAGCTCAAACACGCCATCGACCCCCAGGTCAACGCGTGGAGGATACGTACGGCCACCGAATGGGGTAAGAGGCTTGTTAGAAAACCCGGTCGGGCCTACAGACACGGATCAACTAAAGCGGCAGGGCGCGTCTGGCCGGGTGCACGGGGTAAAGGCCGCCCGCACACCACACACGTCCACCAGTCTATGAGAGCACCAGAGGCCATGCATTGTCGCGACTCGCCAAATGCGTCATAGGTCTACTCCCCTCCCCGGCGAGCCGGATCTTAGGATCTCAGACCTCAGTAGGTTTGTGTCCAGACTGCAGAGAGGACCGGGGTCGAGCCGGCAGTAGCCGTGACATGTGGTTCCACCACCCCTCGTAGGCTTTGCCTCTGATCGCCACCGTTCCCAGGCTGCCTAACGGGATGGAAAGGAAGGCTCGGCGAGCGTATAGAAGCGTGCTCGACCTCGTCGTGGCAACCTGTACGGCAGAGCTGGTAGGCGCGATGAGCGTCGTGCCACCTGACCCGAGACGGGTCGCAGGCGTCGTACTGAGCGCGTCGAGACCGTGTCCTGATGTGATCTGCACGGGTAAATCACGTCGGCGTCAAAGGAGCGACGTGCGACCTGTCAGAGCTTGATCTCCGATCTCAGCGGCGTCGAGTCGTCTCCGGCGCGCGACAAAGGTACATACCCAGGACGCGCAGAGGCAGCTGCGACCCCGCTGAGATCGGAGATCAAGCTCTGACAGGTCGCACGTCGCTCCTTTGACGCCGACGTGATTTACCCGTGCAGATCACATCAGGACACGGTCTCGACGCGCTCAGTACGACGCCTGCGACCCGTCTCGGGTCAGGTGGCACGACGCTCATCGCGCCTACCAGCTCTGCCGTACAGGTTGCCACGACGAGGTCGAGCACGCTTCTATACGCTCGCCGAGCCTTCCTTTCCATCCCGTTAGGCAGCCTGGGAACGGTGGCGATCAGAGGCAAAGCCTACGAGGGGTGGTGGAACCACATGTCACGGCTACTGCCGGCTCGACC